GTATGTTAATTAAGATTTGCAGAAGGAATATTTAAATGAGAGGTGCAGCAAAGAGAGAAAGAGCAATAAGGCACAGGAGCCCTGGGGGGAAGCTGGTATGGTGCAAGGTTTGAAGTGGAATGGGAAGAAGCAGATGCTGTGCAACCCAACATGTTAAATGGGATACTGTACTTCCAAAGTCATCCCAAATGCAGTTTGGTTGGGGTCTGGGTATGGGGGTCCTGGCCTGGACCTGCTGGCAGAGCTGGGAGGGAGAGGATGGTGAGGTCTGGGGCTGCCATGGGTGTCCAGTCTGGGCACCCATGGGTGTCTTCTCCAGGTCAGACTGTAGCTGAGAAAGTTGATGGATTGATTGCCTGTTAGACACTGCTCTCCTGGCTGATACAAATGATCCCAGCTCTGTTCCTGGGTGTGGTTTGCTGGGGCATGGCTCTGGAGGGTCTATGCTCAGGAGCAAGCCTCTGCCTGCTGAAATGGCATTTATAGGGTCTCTGTGCTACCGTTGGCCATTGGTTTAGGTTAAATTAATTAGAAATCCATCAGCTCAAATTACTGTGTAGCTAAAGCCCAATACAGGTGTTTTCTACACCTGCTCATTGAGTGCTGCTGATAGCCTTCAGCACTGGCAGTGACCAGCCAGGAGAGGTTTGTGTCCTGAGCCTACTGGGTCCTGTCCTGCCCCTTGTCCCAGTTTGGGTCTGGGGGTTGGTCCCTGCTGATGGTATGCCCCCCCCTTGGTGTGCCATAAGGTGGCTGTGCCTGACCTCTCCTTGCATGCAGGGTTTGGTGGTGCTTTGTGTGTCTGCATTATCTGGCATGGGATGAAATGCTTGAGAGATAGGTAGGATGCTGTGGAGCTGAAATGTGGGAAAGCTAAAACTGGGGTGAGTGGAATTTCAAGAAGGGACCCTGGGGTCATCTGCTCTGCCCTCAGAGCCACACAGGGTGCAAGAATGCCCTGAAGCTTTTATTTCTCATTTGAAATACAGCACAACTTTTCGAAAAGCATCCAGGCTTGATTTTAAAAAAAAAATAATTAAAAAAAAAAATGACAGTGATGGATAATCCACTACACCCCTTGGTAAATGTCCTAGTGTTTAATTACCTTCACAGCCAAAAAGGAAAGAAAGGAAAAGTACACAGTGTGAAGAGCCCCTAGGGTTGTGTAGTTACTGCTGATACCTGACTGCTCACCGTGGTTCATCTGCTGGGACGACAGGGGGGATGTGCTGCTCCAGCACTGGGGGCTCACTCAGCCCCCAGTCCAGATGCAGGATGTGATGGGGGGTCCTTGTGCTGTCCCAGGGCACTGTCCTTGGAGTGCTGGCCCGGGGCTATGAGAGCCCTGTTTCACCCAGCAGCAGGTCAGTAGCAATGGGGGCTCATTGCCAGCGCAATGTGGGACAATAAATGGCTTTGGATGCTGTGCAGGAGCAATAGTGGCTTCATGTTAGGAAAGAAATAGGGATATTTTTGCCCCCCAGGACACAACCTCGTGTCGGTGTTTGGAGGAAGCAACAGAAGGGGCTCAGGGTAGCACAGGCTGAGTGCTGAGCTGTTCAGCACCAGTTTTGCTTTGACCTGTGGAAGGGATGCTGTGGTGTAAGAGGTCTGCCCAGCCCAAATCGTGTTCTCCTCCAACCTGGGACCTTCTGTGACTTCAGCCCTTTCGGGTGGTGGCTGGAAGACAATCAGGGCTTGCTTTCTGAATGACTGGGTTGTGTTCAGTGTGACTACAAAGCTGGAGGGCTCCTAGGAGGACCATGCCACATCCCCCCACTATGGGGAGCAGAATTGACCAGGCAGAGCTGGAAAGGTCAGAGCCTGATGCAAGGAGGTTTGTCCAGACCTCAGAGGAGCAGTGGGGCTCTTTTGTCTCTCACTGCTTTGGTAGGGCAGGGTGGTGGTTGTGTTTGAAGCAGCACATGCGTCCTCTTGCTGCTCACAAATTGCTCAGCATCTTGGACAGATGCCCAAAGAGTAATAGCCCTCCAATCCAGCAGCTTGGCAGCCTTCATAATTTATGTGAGGGCCCAATCTCTTGGGCTTCAAAGTGGCCTCTCCCGTTGGTTTTCCTTCTGTGCTTCACCTGAGCCCCAGCCTTGCTGCTCTCCAGCTTCAGCCGAGGTTTGCTGTGGTGCCACAAGCCCTGCAGTTCTTCACACATGTGGGTTGTCCCCACCAGACCTCTTCTTCCCCATCCATTATGTGGGTCTCAGCAACTCTCTGGTGCCGGTGGCTCCTGCCTGGCCGGCCCGGGGCAGGCAGGAGCGCAGTGGGAAGGACATTACGTGGGAGAATATGCATGTTCACAGCTCAGAGGATTAAAGGCCCATGTTCTTATCGCTGCAGAACAGAGTATTATAAATCCAGCCTTAGAATACCAAATCCCCGCGCGGCTCGGCCATTGTTTGGGAATATTAAAAAGCTTGGAGACAGAAATAATCAGTTTCCGAATGACACATTGTCAAATAAAACATTTCTCATATTATCCCTTCTTTCCCCTTTCTCTCTACCGCTCCCTCAGTTGGATAATTTAACATGAAAAATAGATTAAAATGAGGCTGGCTTCAATGCCTCCTAAGTTTGACTCTTTTTTTTCTTTTTTTTTTTTTTTCCCCCTCCCTTTTCCCTGGGAAGCTCTCCCAGCGTGTGTGGCGTGGTTAAACAAGCAGCTGCTGGTGGAGGGTTGGGGACGAAAGGAGCACGTTGAAAGTGAGCTGCCTGTGATGAGCCCGTGGCCCTCATCCGAGGGGCTGGCACGGGCACCCACAGCCTTTCCCAGGCAGAGGGGGGCTGTTGTCTTGCTGGCTGGCACAGCAGAGATCTGTGGCTCATCCCCAAAGGATGTGGGAGCTGCAGGCAGGCTGAGCTGGGAGCCCTTCCCTGTTGTTCTTGAATTGGAGGGGGAACGGTGCACTGGTAACCTCTGTGCCTTTATGCTTTTTTGTAGTTTCTCCCAAACAGAGAGATCTTTAATTTAATATGCTGAGAGGTTTTTCTGCTCTGAGTGGTTTCCCAGGGGCAGACACAAGGTGAGCCCAGCCAGGCTGGTTCACAGCCCCCAGCCCTGCCACGGGTGCCCAGACCCCTTCTCTGGGTCTAGCTGGCACAGCTGCTCCTCCTGTAAGACTTTCTTAGTCTTCTTGACCTTTTCCAAGTATCTGGGTTGTCTCCAGTTGTAGTTTTCCATGGAGGGTGGGTGCTTATGGGTGCAGAGTGCTCTGCCCTGCTCTGCAGTCACTTTGTAGTGGCAGTGCATCATCAGGCACTGTGCAGACCCAAGGAAATGTGTCTTCTCTCCCAGGCTGAGGTGTTCATGCAGGTTCTTGCTTCTGAGCATGGAAGGCTATGATGAGTCCTCATCTCATCCCACTGTTCTTGGAAGTGCGCTGGTGCTTCAGGGTATAAACCTGGGCTGCTCATCAAGCCCTGCTGTTCTCCCCCACAGAGATGATCCTGGACAGCTCCTGGACACTAAAATACCTTTCCCAAAGGTGTGTGTCACCCAAATTTGGGAGTCCAAGCTGAGCAGTGTCCTGAATCCCTGAGCCTTGCTTCTGTTAGTGACAATTATGGGGGAGAGAAAGGGGTCTTGATGTGGGGTATGTTGGACTGAGCTCTCCTCTGTGGCAGGTCGTGGTGCTGGGGTGATGCAGGGAAGTGTCTCTCCTCTGCTCCAGCTCCCGAGGCCTCTCCCCATCAAACTCATCCTGTGAGCTGCAGTTTTCAGTGCAACCTCTTCACAGCTGATCCTGTTTAGGAGTCAGAGCAGCGCTCCGGGTGCAGTCTGGTGCTTCGCATCGAACACAGAGGGAATATTTTCACGCCTCCTCTTTGCTGTTGCGCTCGGTGGAGCTCTGGGCTGTGGCATTCCCAGTGCCAAAGGAACGCCTGCCCTGCCCTGCCTGTCGCTCTGCAAAGCCCTAGTCACTCGTGCTGCTCCTGATTTACATGCCCTGCCTTGCTTGTCTGCCCCGGGATAAAATTGCTCCGATGCTGCGGAGATTAAGAGGCTGGAAGCTGGCACAGGCACAGCTCCTGCGTGTGCAGGGTTCAATTTAACCTCCAGAGCAACCAGAGGCAGGGCTGGCTCCCTTTGGTACTTCCTAGCCCAGATCCCTTGAGAGGAGATGCCACTTCCCTGAACAAATACATATATATATTTGTAGGGTGGGTATTTTTTTTTTTTTTAATGTTAATGTAGTTGAGAGCTGTGGTGAATAAAGGAGGAGGGGAAAGAGGATGGCTTAACAGAGAAGGTCTTGGTCTGGAATACCTTGAGCTGTACCCCCAGGTCAGCAGTTGAAGTCTGGAACCCAGAGGGAAATCAGATCAGAAATGAGGGAGCTGGGTTAACCATACCCTGGGGAGTGATGCCTCCGTGGGGCCATTTGTTGCACCATCATTTTTATAAAATGTGTGTCTCTGCTGAGGCTTTACTGCTCCTGTGTTTGGCTGGGTTGTTCCAATGAATTTTTTTTCTTCTAAGTGGCTGGATGTGATTGTCTCCTTCCCCATCTCCCCATGTGTAGGGGAACTGGGGGTCCCAAGGAGTGCATGGAAGGAATGAAGTTCCTGGGAGAATGGGCAGAGCTGAGCTGGGGGTGTTGCTGTGCTGTCCCCAGCTAAAGGCCACCTCTGGCATCCTGCTCCACTTGACCTCCGACCCCACAGGTGGCTGCTTCATGAACCCACCTGTGTTGGTGGAAGTGTGCTCTGAGAGTTTACTCAGAGTGGTGAAGCACTGCAACAGGTTGCCCAGAGAAACTGTGGCTGTCCCATTCCTGGAAGTGTTCAAGGCCAGGTTGGACCAGAATTGGAGCAACCTGGGATAGTGGAAGGTGTCCCTGCCCATGGTGTGGGTTTGGAACGAGATGAGCTTTAAGGTCTCTTCCAACCCAACCATTCCATGATTCTGTGGACACTGCAGCATCTCATCACCCGTCCCTGCACCCCGTGCATCTCCTGACCCTGTGCCCTTTTCTCTCCTCTTGCAGGGCGGGCTGATCGCGCTGCTCCTGCTCCTCCTGGTGTTCATGGTGGCCCTGTACGCCCAGCGGCGCTGGCACAAGCGCCGCCGCATCCCGCAGAAGAGCGCCAGCACCGAGGCCACCCACGAGATCCACTACATCCCCTCGGTGCTGCTGGGCCCCCAGGCCCGCGAGAGCTTCCGCAACTCGCGCCTCCAGGCCCACAACTCCGTCATCGGGGTGCCCATCCGAGAGACCCCCATCCTGGACGACTACGAGGACGAGGAGGAGGAGGAGACCCCGCGGCAGGCAGAGCCCAGCACCAGGGAGGACGAGTTTGGCAGCCAAGTGACACGGACACTGGAGAGCCTGGGTCGGGGCGGGGAGGAGAAACCCGACTACGAAAAGAAAGGTTGGTGGCTTTTCCCTCTCTCCTCTCCTGGGGAGCAGCGCGTTCCCCAGAGTGTTCCTGCTAATGCACACTTGATCGCCCGCATTTTTAAAGTCTGCCTCTCAGAAGCCTCTACACCCACCTCTGCTTATTGAAATGTTATTATAAGCCATTTAATATTGTTCACCTGCAATGCACAGCAAAATGCATTTGAATAAACAAAAGCAAAGCACATTAGTGCTGATTGTTAGTGCCGTGAGTGACTCCAGCAGGAGAGAGGAAGGGATGTGGGATGCACTGGCTTGCTCTGTACAGGGAAAGGATCTTGGGGTGATGCTGAACCATCCTTTTCGTGTGGGCTTCCAATAAGGACTGTGTGGCCCTGTTGGAGCACCCAGGGTGGCAGGGATGGGGACCAGTGTTCTTTTTGGCTCTGTGGAGCAGACTGTGGCTCTGAGCAACAGAACCAGGGAGAGCCTAGATGACACATTGTGTCTGGAAAGCAGCTCCCTGCCCTCGTGATGGTCAGAAGCGGTGGCTGAGGTTGTGTTTCTTCCACCCTTAAAGTGCCCTTTACTCTTTTGCTTTTAAACAAGGTTATGATGATGGTGATTGTTATTGTTGCTTAAACAGATTCAGAGGTGCCCAGGGGGTCAATCTGCCATCCTTGAGTGCTGCTCTGAGCACCTCTGTTGGCATCCCTTGGGGTACAGCTGGCTGTTAGCAGCCCATGGGGTTAAGAGATGTTTTATCAGCCCTCTACTCAGTAAGAATGAACAAATGAAAGCCTTCATATATTGTAACTGAGCTACCTTCTTTATTTGTTTGTATTATCTTCTTTGTTTTGCTTTTCTATAAATTATTTAGAGTTGTGTGAGTGGGGAAGACAGCAGTAACTGCATTTCAGTACTCTTCAAAACATAATAGCAAACAAGATCTAGAGCAGAATATTAAGACTATCTGAGGGCTTCAAGAATTGTCAATAAAGATCTTGCACAGGTCCCCAAGCCAGGGCTGCAAGCTGCCTGCAGGGCCAAGGCTACCTGGGCTGGGAAAGGTGTTCACAAATGCTCCTACCAGCTCTGCTCGTGATTTTGTGCCTTGCCTACTCTGATCCTTCCAAACTCTTCCAGTTCACTGTATGTTTCCTCCCAGATGGGCACTTTTCCCTCTTGGATGAGGCTCTGCTCAAGGAGCCGAGCTATGGTAGGCGCTTAGTTACTCCTCTCTGCTGAGGCTGGTTAGAGCCTGGATTGCCAAGGATGAGGTGGCTGTAGTTCAGATCAAGAGTTTCTAGACTAGAAATATAAATATATGTGCTGTGGGCTTTCCACTCTGACTTGGTTTGCACAAGTGTGGGAAACGTGGTGATTTGGGAGGCGTCGGACGTGCCACACCCACTCAGCTTTGACTCACCTATGAGCAGCAGCTGCAGATGGATTTCCAGAGGGATTTGGCAGGTGGAGTGGAGAAACTGCAGTTGGTGTGAGCAGGCATCATGTTCCTGGAGAGCCCCAAGGGCTGGAAACCAGTTCTGCTCAGGCATGGCTTTAAAGCTGGATTGAAGATAGATGCATTAAGGGAAATGCAGCTGGAACATGGCTGCAGTGCGAGGATAGGGTCAGCCTTTTTCCAGTGCCCATCTGGAGCTGTCAGGTTTTGGTGTGATCACTGGGGACGGGTGAGGAGCTGTGCCTGCATCCCAGGGAGCCCATCAGCTCCCACGGGAGAAGCTCTCCTTGCTGTTCTTGCTGTGTTGCATTGTGATAAGGCATCAGCTGGGAGTTGTCAGCGGGCTCCAAACGGTATCATCGCCGGGGCTGTCACCAGAGGCTCTTTCAAGTGTCACTTCCCAGCATTAATTACCAAGGATGGCAAATCCAATGAAGATGGAGCATTTCTGCTCACCCTCCACCTGCCTGTGCTGCAGCTTCCCCCCTGTGTTAGGCACTGATTGATTCACAGGGTGCCAGGTCGTGCCAAGAGCGGGCACCTTCCCTTCCTGGTGGTTCATGCATCCCACACTCCACAGATGTTGACTCAATTATCCTTTCCATGAGGAAGAGTGTGGGTTTTATTTTTTTTTAATTCCCCACTTCTGGATGTATCTGGTCAGGGAATCAGGCAGGGGATTGCACTGGATGACTCTGTGACATGCAGCCCTGCAAAATGAGAGAGAAGTCCCTGCTCGGGGGTTGAGCAGCACAAATATTTTGCAGATCACGGCTCGGCGAGCCAAACTTTCCTTCCCAGCTCAGGCAGTGCTCAGGCAGCGATGCAGATGGGAGGGATGCTCCTGCCTGGTGCCAGAGCATCTGAAGTGAATCCCAATACAAACAAAACACGGGAGTGATGTGCTGAATAATGACATCTAGCAACAAGCGCGTCTGAGTGATAAAGTTAATGAAATTACAGGTTCTGACCTGATACCAGGCTCTGCTGTGGGGAGATAAACAGCAGGGCAAAGATGAGATGTTTATTTCTCCCTAGCTGCAGTTGTAATCTGGATGTGCTGTGCAGGGCCATTAACATTATTACTGTTATGCAAAATCATTTTTGACTTGGGGGAAAAAAAAAAAAAAGAAGGAAAGAAAGAAAAATCTCCCAACTGCCTAGAAAATGGAAAGCTGGCAAAATTAGAATTGCAGCAGGGGCACAAGCTGACCTGGTGACATTGCACAGAGCCCAGATGAATTTAGACAGAAGAAAAATCCGAGGCAGTTTAAGAAGAAAAGTAGAAAAGTAGTCCTTTTTCTGTTTTTTATTAATAATAAAATGAAATGGAGTGAGGCCGGAGGCAATAGCCAGGCTGTCCTAATTGTACAGAAGGATCCCTTGAGCTGGGGTGGTGAGGGGGCTGTGTTGTCTCCTCGTGGGTTTGGGTTCTCTCTGCCAATCAGAAGGTCTCCAGAGGGTTGTGTACCCCGGGTGTGTGTGGTGCCAAGTGGGGTCTGCTGGTGTGGGGTGTAGTTTCTGGAGTCTTGGTTTTTTCTGGGGAGACCCCCATGTCCAAACTCAGCCCCTGTGTGTACACAGCATTCAGCAATATAGGGATTTGGGTAAATTCATGCAGGTGATGCCACTGTCCTCACTGTTTCTGTGCTCACTTCACTGGGTAGTTTAGTTTCTAGTCCATGTTCCTGATGATTTCTGCTCTCCTGCCTTTCCCGAACAGATGGCCTCAAGCTCCATCCCTTTGAGAATTCCTCACTTGCTTTTCTTTTTCAACACACCTGGCTCTCATCCTTACCCACATGGCTTTATCCTATGGCAGCAGGAGCCCTGTTTTTCTGTCCATCACGTGGTATTTGAGGGGCTTTGGCCCCCAGTCCATCACTGCATCTCCCCTGGGATGTACTGGGTGCACAGAGATGGAGTTAGTAAGTGAAGGCAAAGTCCAGCAAACCTGAATATGGGATTATCCACAAGTTCCACAACGAGAAGATTTTGCCAAACCAGATCTCCTAAGGACCAGTGAGAAGCAGAACTTCTGCCTGGTTGAAAACTGAGGAGAAATTAGATGTCAGACTTGAAAATCGAGTATTTGCAATTCCAGTCCTGCAACAAAGGACCCATCTTTATTTCCCGGTTTCTTTCATGTTCAAAAAAAGAACTTTTCAAGCAGGCCTTTGTGCTGGCTTCACAGGCTCTGCAGTCTGGCCTCCAAGTCTAGACAGGAGACAGGACTTATTACTGGTGCTTCCGATGATTAATGCCATGGGCATATCAAAGGTGTGGCTGTGCAGTCATCTTGATTTCCTGTCTCCTGGACTTTCTTGCCTGCTATGTTAGCTCAGGTAAACCTCTGAAGTTTCTCTTACTTAATCCATGGATGCTTTTCTCTGTAGTGGTAGTGAGATGCTTTAGAGCATTCCTGAAAGATAGTCTGGCACCTAGAGCGCACCTGGAGATGTAGATCCAGCTCCGCTCTACCACTGGCTGCTCTGTAACCCTGGTCATGCCATTTAATGGTCTAGTCCTCATCTGTGGGTTGGAGAGGGGAGCTGGAGAGAGCAGGCAGGGCAGCATGAGGAAACATTGAGAACTGAAGGGGTTGTGGTCCTACCAGCCTTCCAGCCAAACTGCTGTGGGTGATACAGTCCAGGAGAACTGCAGGAGAAGGGAGTTAGGGAGGGGAGACAAATGGCTTAGGCTTGAGATAAGAGCAAAAGGCAGGGGAAGGACCCTTGTGGTGAGGAGAGGGAGCTTCCTATGCCCCCCACCAGCTCTGGAGCAGCTGTTCTGGTGGTCAAACCTCAGTCAGCATTTTGACCTTCCAGCAGAGACTCCTCTGGGAAGAGGTAAGGCAGCACTCCGGCTGGAGGACGTGATGTCGGGACTGGGGAAAGGGACACTTTGGGGGCTGAGATGTGGAAGAGGAGTGTGGATAGTTTAAGCTGTGCCCTAGAGTTGCTATTCATTGCAAATACATGAGCTCTGCAGTATCTTGGAGGTGAGACTTTAAAGACGGGATGCGAGTTGGGGCGATGCCCTCGCAGTGGGCAGGTGATGGTGTTGCCCTCCAAAAGAAGAGCTCAGTGGCAGCAGGAATGAGATGACCTGTCCTTGAGGGGACATCAGTGTCTGTTTGTGCTTATGGCTGGCCACCAAGCCACAATGTACCATCCTTGGTGCCCACACCACCAGGGCTGGGAGCCACTGGAGCTGCTGTTTGCTCGGGTAGTCAGATGCAGCTCCACCCTGATTCCAAGCATTAACCAGAAGCTTTCTGAGCCTTTAATAAATAAAAAGACAGCTTAACGTTTGCTGGGGCTGGAGGCTAAAATGGGACAGTACGTCAGGCTGGCATCTGATGTGTCTTGGGGCTCTGTCTTCTTTTCAGTGACCTGATGGGATCATGACCCTCTTTGTACGTGATCAGCTTTTCCCAGCTCTAATCCCCGCCAACTCCTTCCGTAATTTACAGAGATCTTTGAAAATGTATATTCTTGTAGCTTGCCAGCAGAAAGTGTTTCTTGCACTCCACTATTGCTGGCTGCAGAACACAGCTTTTAAAGAAA